GTTATTAAAATGTTCACTTTTTGCAATGGTTCTGGTATTTTTAAAGTCAATTTCGTGTCCTGTGGCTTTAAGGTGTTGGACCAGGGAAGATGTTGGTTCCTCTTTTTTGACTGAGTTCTTATGTTCTTCAATGCGTGCACTTATTCTTCTGTTGGTTTGTCCGATGTAGGTGGTGGGACAAGTGGTGCATGGGATTTCGTATACTCCTTGATTTTCTAATTCAATTTTATCTTTGGGGTTTCTAATGATGGTGGATATTTTTCTGTTTGTGCAGAATGCTGTTTTGATGTTGTGTTTATGGAGGATCTTACTGATTCTGTCTGTGATGCCTTTTATGTATGGGAGGATGGCTTTGCCGTTTTCTTGTTCTTTGTCTTGGATTTTAGTGGGGGTTTCTTTTTGGATTAGGGTTGTAATCTTATTTCTATGGAATCCATTGGATGTTAGTACATTGGTGAGAGTGTGTAGTTCGGGTTTTAGGTGTTGTTCGTCAGCTAAGCGTTTTGTTCTGGAGATGAGTGTCTTGGCTACAGAGTTGATCTGTGCTGGGTGGTGGTGTGAGAGAGCGTGCAGATAGCGGTTTGTGTGTGTTTTCTTCTGGTAGATGGTTTGTCCTAGGGAGCCATTGGATTTCTTGTAGACTAAGACATCCAGGAAGGGAAGTTGGTTGTTAGCTTCTGTTTCCATGGTGAACTGTATTTTGGGGTGTAGGCTGTTGAGGTGTGTGAGGAAGTTTTCCAGTTTTTCTTTCCCATGTGGCCAGATTATGAAGGTGTCGTCTACATATCTGAGCCAGAGTTTGTGTTTGTGATCCGATTTTTCTAGAGCTTGGGTTTCAAAGTGTTCATGTAGAGGTTGGCAATGACAGGTGAGAGGGGTGTCCATGGTGCTCTTCTCTGTTTGTTTGTAGTTTGTCCGTTATAGATGAAGTATGTGTTGGATAGGCAGTGTTGGTCAGATCTAAGATGTGTTTGGGGGGGTTATAATTTGTTTTGAATAGCTGTCAAGGCTTCTTGATAGGCACTTGGTTGAGAGGGATAATGAAATCCGAAACTCAATAGTAGGAGTCGCGGGGCTGTAAGCTTTGTTTCTTTATGATCTCTATAACCTGGAATGAGTTTTTTACGTGTGAGGTGATGGATTCTGCATAGGGCTGTAGTTGTTTGGCGAGAAATTTGGCTAGGTTTTGTAGAGGTGAGCCTATGGAGCTGACTATGGGTCTGAGTGGGGTTCCTCCTTTGTGTATCTTGGGGAGACCATAGAGTTTGGGGGCATCTGGATGATTTCTCTCTGGGAATGATTCTTTGCTGGATCTCTTTGCTAATGGGGGAGGCTTTTATTTTGGATCTGGTGGTTTTTTCCAGGTAGGTGGTGGGATCTGTATTTAGGGTTTTGTATGTGGAGTCTTGGAGTAGGTTGGTTAATTTGGTTTGGTAGTCAGATGTGTTCATAACCACCGTGGTGTTGCCCTTGTCTGCTGGTAGGATTATTATGCTGGTGTCTTCTTTCAGGTTACGTAGTGCTGTCTGTTCCTCTTTGGGTAAGTTGCTTTGGGGTGGCTTGCTGGTGCAGAGGATGTTGGTGATTTCGAGTCTGATTCTGTTGGCGTCATCGGGGTTGATTTTAGTCAGGCTGGTTTCAACTCCACATATAATGGTTTCAGTGGGGATGTGTTTGGGAGCGACTGCAAAGTTGAATCCTTTGGAAAGGACATTGGTTTCGGCTTTGGTGAGGATCCTATCTGAGATGTTATGCACTGTTTGTTTCATGTGTGGCTGTGATGGAGGAGGGGTTTGTTTCTGGCGTTCTTGTAGTCTTCGGAGTTTGTTGGTGTGTGTATCTGTCTTGAGGGTGGTCTGTGTTTCGGCTCTCCAGACTGCGATTTTGTTTGGATTTGTCCCAAGTGCGGGGTTGGATCTTGTTTGCTGATTTTGAGGTGGAGTGTGAGGAGATCTTTGTTAATTCGGTCTAGGAGAATCTTGTTTGTGTGAAGTTCATTTCTGATTAGGGCCGATGCCTTTTTTCTTATTCCAGATCCGTTGTGTGGCTGCCAGAGTTGGAGTGGGAATTTCCATTGGAAACATGTGGGGTATTAGATTTTGATCTCGGCAGTTACGTAGGAATGCGAGGTCACATAAAATGGCAGCTCTTTGGACTTCAAGTTTTTCATAGGTCCTGGTCAGATGGTGGATTTCCTCCCCGTAGAGGTTCGATATTTGTTTTCTGAGGTTTTCGCGGGTATTTGTATATAGGTCTTTGGTTGTTCGGGTTTTCTCCCGCGTAAAATTGGAAGTGTCTTGGCAACGTTTCGACGAAGTCACATTCGTCATCTTCAGGCTGGTGTTTTTAGCTTCTTGATTTGAGCAGCAATGTGTTGTTTTAGCTGTTTCTTCCTTTTACTGCCATGATGGTATGAACTGATTGGGATGTGAGCTGGCTGTGTTCTGATTGGGGTGGAGTGTGGTTCTGAATGGTTAGGGCTGGCTGTGCTCTGATTGGGCCTGGGGGAGTGTTCTGTTTGGTTTGTGCTCAGTTGTCCTGAGTTGCAGAGGGGTTTAAGATTTTGGGGTTAGGGAGTCGTTTGTCAATAAGGGCAGGTTTCCAAAGGGCTGGTAGGCGGGAGGTATCATCTCGCTTGTTCATGCTGTGTGGGCGTTTTTCTATCTCGATGGCTTCTCTGATTATTCTTTTATTAAAATGTTCACTTTTGGCAATGGTTCTGGTATTTTTAAAGTCAATTTCGTGTCCTGTGGCTTTAAGGTGTTGGACCAGGGAAGATGTTGGTTCCTCTTTTTTGACTGAGTTCTTATGTTCTTCAATGCGTGCACTTATTCTTCTGTTGGTTTGTCCGTTGTATGTGGTGGGACAAGTGGTGCATGGGATTTTGTATACTCCTTGATTTTTTAATTCAATTTTATCTTTGGGGTTTCTAAGGATGGTGGATATTTTTCTATTTGTGCAGAATGCTGTTTTGATGTTGTGTTTATGGAGGATCTTACTTGATTATGTCCTGTGGTGGCCTTTTATGTATGGGAGGAAGCTTTGCCGTTTCTTGTTCTTACTGATTCTGTCTGTGGTGCCTTTTATGTATGGGAGGAGGGCTTTGCCGTTTTCTTGTTCTTTGTCTTGGATTTTGGTGGGGTTTTCTTTTTGGATTAGGTTTGTAATCTTATTTCTATGGAATCCATTGGATGTTAGTACATTGGTGAGAGTGTGTAGTTTGGGTTTTAGGTGTTGTTCATCAGCTAAGCGTTTTGTTCTGGAGATGAGTGTCTTGGCTACAGAGTTGATCTGTGCTGGGTGGTGGTGTGAGAGAGCGTGCAGATAGCGGTTTGTGTGTGTTTTCTTCTGGTAGATGGTGTGTCCTAGGGAGCCATTGGATTTCTTGTAGACTAAGACATCCAGGAAGGGAAGTTGGTTGTTAGCTTCTGTTTCCATGGTGAACTGTATTTTGGGGTGTAGGCTGTTGAGGTGTGTGAGGAAGTTGTCCAGTTTTTCTTTCCCATGTGGCCAGATTATGAAGGTGTCGTCTACATATCTGAGCCAGAGTTTGGGTTTGTGATCCGATTTTTCTAGAGCTTGGGTTTCAAAGTGTTCCATGTAGAGGTTGGCAATGACAGGTGAGAGGGGTGATCCCATGGGTGCTCCTTCTGTTTGTTTGTATTTTTGTCCTTATAGATGAAGTATGTGTTGGATAGGCAGTGGTTGGTCAGATCTAAGATGTGTTTGGGGGGGTTATATTTGTTTTGAATAGCTGTCAAGGCTTCTTTGATAGGCACTTGGGTGAAGAGGGATATGACATCGAAGCTCACTAGTAGGTCGCTGGGCTGTAAGTTTTGTTTCTTTATGATCTCTATAAACTGGAATGAGTTTTTTACGTGTGAGGTGATGGATTCTGCATAGGGCTGTAGTTGTTTGGCGAGAAATTTGGCTAGGTTTTGTAGAGGTGAGCCTATGGAGCTGACTATAGGTCTGAGTGGGGTTCCTTCTTTGTGTATCTTGGGGAGAATAGAAATGGAATAGAAATAAGATTACAAACCTAATCCAAAAAGAAACCCCCACAAAATCCAAGACAAAGAACAAGAAAACGGCAAAGCCCTCCTCCCATACATAAAAGGCACCACAGACAGAATCAGTAAGATCCTCCATAAACACAACATCAAAACAGCATTCTGCACAAACAGAAAAATATCCACCATCCTTAGAAACCCCAAAGATAAAATTGAATTAGAAAATCAAGGAGTATACGAAATCCCATGCACCACTTGTCCCACCACATACATCGGACAAACCAACAGAAGAATAAGTGCACGCATTGAAGAACATAAGAACTCAGTCAAAAAAGAGGAACCAACATCTTCCCTGGTCCAACACCTTAAAGCCACAGGACAGCGAAATTGACTTTAAAAATACAAGAACCATTGCCAAAAGTGAACATTTTAATAACAGAATAATCAGAGAAGCCATCGAGATAGAAAAACGCCCCACAGCATGAACAAGCGAGATGATACCTCCCGCCTACCAGCCATTTGGAAACCTGCCCTTATTGACAAACGCTCCCTAACCCCAAAATCTTAAACCCCTCTGCAACTCAGACTAACCTGAGCACAACCAAACAGAACACTCCCCCAGACCAATCAGAGCACAGCCAAGCCCCTAACCATTCAGAACACACCTCCACCCAATCAGAACACAGCCAAGCTCCCACCCAATCAGTTCATACCCCACTGGCAGTTAAAAGGAAGAAACAGCTAAGACAACACATTGCTGCTCGAAGCACGAAGCTGAAAACACCAGCCTGAAGATGACGAATGTGACTTCGTCGAAACGTTGCCAAGACACTTCCAATTTTACGTGGGAGAAAACCCGAACAACCAAAGACCTATATATATATATATATATATATATATATATATATATATATATATATATATTTATATTTATATTTATATTTATATTTATATTTATATTTATATTTATATTTACATTGCCCCCAACAATCTGGGTCCTTCTACAAAGCAAAGCTTTAGAGTTTGAGAAAATTATAACTTAGTTAGCATTTTTTATTTTTTAAAAGAATATTAGTTTCCAACTGAAGCTTTTCTACCTGCAAATAGAAAGTATTAAACATTAACTAAGATATCCAGCATTGATTGAGGTTGTTACTTGTACTTCTTGGAATCATGGAAATAGAAATGGAAATTATTCAACATCTAAAAAGTGACTTTCATTTGGAGAATTGAGCCCTAGCTCTTGGTCTGGATTAGAATGACTCTCCCTTTCACAGCTATTCTTTGCAATCCCATACAAAAGGAAAGGGAAATCAGCCTACAAAAGCTCACCCCTACATTTCATCTGAATGAAGTCCAGCTGATGGATTGACTGCAGCAATGGTTCACTGTCCAACGTCAGATCGAATTCAGCAGATACTTTTGGTTCCAGGGCTCCTTTCACCCACTGCTCCTGAGACACTTGAACACGTTTGATTAAAGCATCTGAAATCTGAAAAAGAACACGTTTTGCAGACTAGACAAAGCTATTGAAGAATCAGTTCATCAACTGGAAGGCAAACGATCCCAGTCAATCAAAGAATGGGCCCCCTGAGGCAGGTGAGTCAATTTTGAGAGATTTAGGTCTGAAGACATTTAAATCAAGTAGCAAATATTTTCAGCTAGCTTCTGAAGGTGGGATGCATAGTGAACGCTAATATGTCAATAAACTAATCAATTTCAAATGAGGCTTACAAGAATCCACCTTTCTCCATGTTTCCATCTTTGTCACTGAATTGGATAGAATAAGCCAGTGGTGGCAAACCTATGGCACGGGTACCAGAGGCGGCACTCAGAGCCCTCTCTGTGGGCATGCGCACCATCGCCCCAGCCCCACCTTCCCCCACAACCCCCTCCTCACCAGCAGCCCCCCCCGGAGGACAGTCACTCTCGAGCATGGCCCGCGGGGAGCAGTGCAGACAAGGGCATGGCAGCCAGACAGCAGGGACATGACTGTCTCATGCATTTGATGCTGTGGGGCGCAGGTGGAAGGCGTGGCTGCCATAGCACTGCTGGGCCATGTGGGTGATCTGCGGCAGGCTGTAGAGGCATTGGATGGCCCTGTGGGTGGGAGCGCAGCTGGGGTGGAGTGGGTAGGGGTGGGGGCAGGGGGTGGCGGGGAGGGGCCGGTTTTGGGGCATTCGGTCTCTAAAAGGTTCGCTATCACTGGAATAAGCTATATAAAAATATATATGAGGCTATTATGACAGCATTTATCACTGCCAAATTAGAATCCTTCATAAGAGATTGGTCATTTATCACTAAGACAAATGATAACTTACCTGTAAGAAACCAGAAGGATCATTTTCTTTGATTACTTCTAGACAATATTCCATAAGTCCTGTGGACTGTCGCAGTTTTAGAGTACAGTGGTTTATCTGGTCCCATACAACCTAGGGAGGGAAAATGCCTGTTGATCTCTCCAGCATTCACTGAACTGAAGAAATATTTTTGGAAACACTACCGTAGCAGAAGGGAGAAGAATTTGATGGAATAATATTTGCTTAGACCAGTGGTTCTCAACCTTTTTAATGCCGCGACCCCCAACCGGTCGTAAGTTGAGGACTACTCAACCGGTCGTAAGTCGAGGACTACTCAACTGGTGCAGCACCGTTTGCAGAATGGGACTTTTGGCGGGCTCGGCAGGGCAGAGACAGCCTGGACAATTCCCATTGGCTTTTGAAAACCAATAGAATTAGACTCTATTCAAGAGAGTCTATTCTATTTGCTTTCAAAAGCCAATAGAATAAAAGGGAGTAGCACAGCTAAGGAAAAGGGGGAAAAAATGGCGGACTGAGTTGTTTGGTGACCCCCGTGAAATGGTCGTTCGACCCCAAATGGGGTCCCGACCCACAGGTTGAGAACCACTGGCTTAGACAAACATATTGATATCAACTTCTTTTTCAATAGCTCCAACTATAAGCTCTAGGTAGGTCCTGATATTAGGGTGGTCAAATGACATAATAAGGCAAGTTCAATTTGCAGGGAAAGATTTTAAAAACATTCAGGATCCATTTATATTTATGGCTGAATTATCTGAATCACAAAGGTGTGTGACCTGTGGTTTCACATATATAGATTAGATATGGCAAATTAGGGCCTAGGACTACAAAGGATTTTTTGGTAAGCTCTTTGCTCATAAGATTCAGTACTGATACTGAATAATCAATGTGAAGCTTTAGAGCTATGCATTCAAGAACATGGATTTTAAAGATGATCAGGCTCCTTTATCCAGCAGATATGAATAAAGTTTTCATCACCTTTAGCTTGTGCTCCCGCTCTTTGGTAACTTTTGTGAGCAGTTTGGCCTTCTGGCGAGTCAAAGCATCAACTAAAGCATCACACTGAGCAACCAGACAAGCTTCATAGTCCAAGCCATTTTCCTAAAAAAAAGAAGTAGGACACCATTTACCTTTATAATCATATTCTGAGAACACCAAAACTACTGTGGGTAACTAACAGTTATTTTTCTGCTCTTTTCTAAACACTTTGGAATCATACAGGATATTCTTAATAACTAGCTAGTGCCCTGAAAACATATAGTTACTGCTATAAAATGTCCACAAGTATATTACTAAGAGGATGATTCTGACAGAAGATAAAAATATCCTTTCCTAACTTGGCACCATTAAATGTTTATATAAACTCTTGGGTGTTATTAATCAGACTTGTTTCCTTCCTTCCTTCCTTCCTTCCTTCCTTCCTTCCTTCCTTCCTTCCTTCCTTCCTTCCTTCCTTCCTTCTTCACATTTGAACAGCCCATCTTTCTCATTTTCCTGTGCAAATCCTTTTCCTGATATGCTGACATTGAGAAATTCAGCTATGGGAATCACATCCATGATAATTCACAGATCCTGTTCATTTCAATGAAATCCATATATGATATTGTGGATTTTTGGTACATGGGTTCTGGACTAGTAAGGTAGTGTAGGCTTTGAGTGGAAAACACCATAAAGATGCAGGTTTCACAATCGTGTTCAATTAGATACATATCAATGTATTCTCACGCCATACTATCATTCATACACATTCATTTCTCTCTCTCTAATATACAAGCTGACATAGGTACATTTGATGCCCATGTCTTGCATATCTGCACCTGCTCCCTGAAAATAAAGAAGAAGCAAGATTGCCAAATAAAAGAGAAATAATGAAGATTTTTCTTCCCAGCAAATTAACCTGAAGACCACTGTGGGAAACCAATGGGTTGAGGAATGGAGTTGAAGGTAAATTTCCCATTATGATCTGTGATTCCAAGTGTTGGGTTGGAAACTATGGCTTTTATTGACTTGGCTTAGCTACTTAACCAGCAACACTGCAATTACACAAAAAATTGCCCAGTAGACTTGCCATTGTAGAGTTTTATTATGGCCATTCAAAACAATGTTTAAAAAAGCTCAAATTCTATATTCATTACCTGTATCTGCTGTAAAATATTTTTCAGTTGCACCAAAAATTCTTTTGCTTCCTTTGCTTTGTCTGAAATGCCATTCAAAGCTTGGGACAGTTGTGCCTGGAAGAAATAAAAAATTAAATTATCCACCACAATTCAGGCCTGCTTGCCTGCCTTTCTATTTCAAGCCCTGGCAATTGTACATAAAAAGATTGAGATTTTACTTAAGAGGTGGGTGGGGGATGAAGACTGGGAACTAGGATCATGGGGACCCAGATTCAAGTCCACCTTCAACCATGGAAGCTCAATGGATAACTTCAGCTACTTGTTCTCTCCTCCCAATACATCTCAGTGGCTTCTTGTGGGATAAAATGGGAGAAAGTAAAACTATGTATGTCCCCTTAAGCTTCTGGAGAAAAGGTAGGAAATCAAATAAATTAATAAAAAGCAGTATCACCGTTATGTTTTTCTTGGCATATTATTTTGCAAAACCTATAGGCCTGTGGTGGCAAACCTATGGCATGTGTGCCATAGGTAGCACTCAGAGCCCTCTCTGTGGGCACGCGTGCCGTCGCCCCTGTCTTAGGTCTGCAGCTGGGTTTTATAAACCCTTTTTGCTTTAGGCCTCCACCGCCATGTGCAAAAAAAATAGATTCAATCAATCAATCAATTTCAATTTCTCGCGGGAAAAAAAATTGATTTGATTGAACTTTTTAGTCCCAACCAGTCTGCCGTTACCACTGCAGCCACGCCCACCCAATGGGCCACGCCCACTCAGCACACGACGCTACATAGGTGGGGTTTGGGTTGCAGTTTGGGCACTCGGTCTCTAAAAGGTTGGCCATCACTGCTATAGACCATTCCACTCTGTTGGCTCTATATGGTATACATGCGCCCAATACATAATGGGAATAGAATAGAATTCTTTATTAGCCAAGGAATTTGTATCTAGTGCATAAACTCTGTGTGTATGTGTGTGTGTGTGTGTGTATACAAAATGTATATATATATTTTACAAGCAACAACCAGAAAATATTTTTCCCAGTATAACCAGTGAGTCAATCTCTGTATTCCATGATCCTGAATCTTGGACCATTACATCAAGATATTTGAAATTCCTTACTTGTTCAATGTTCTGCCCTTCTATTACCCATTGTAGCTTTCCTACATTTTTAGCAAATATCATCACGTTAGTCGCATGAAAAATTATTCCAAACCGATACTACCTATAATACTACGCCAAGCTTTTGTGTGCAGGTTGAGGCCAGTTGGAGCTGCATCATCAGCATATAGCAGAAGAGAGACATTCATAGCTGCTAATACAATAGAAAGTGAATTTTGGAGTTACATCTTACTCTAATTCTAGAATTATCATACAATTTCTGAATAATAGCAACTGCTGATCAATATGAGAATCCCCATTTTTTCCATACAAAGGGCCTCAAAATTAAGCCAAATGCTCATTTAAAGACCATATAATGAAAAATACATCTTCAATATATTTTTCAAATGACATAAAACTAGAATATAATTTAATATGGAATGGACAGATCTGAAGCCCACCTGTTCATGGCCTAGGATAGTTTTCGTTCACTAGCCATTCTGGTAATTTCCATTCTAAAGGCCAAATATAAATCTTATTGAAAATGCTAAGGAAACTAATAATCCAATAGCTGACAGGATCAACCCTTTCCCCTTTTCTGAAAATTGGGACACTTAATTCCACTCCCCAATAGTAGGGTATGTATTGCTAGATTGGTCTATATACGAAAATGTGAGGCTAAGTCAGGAACCCGCCAATCAACATTACATTTCAACATTTCAGCTAAGATATAATCATAGCCAGAAGCCTCACCTAACATTAGAATGTTAATAAGCTTCCTTACTTCAAACTCTGAGACTAGCAGCCAGTCAGGGAAGGTCTTATTATATTGCTGTAAATCCATAGGTTCTTCTTCATGAGACTCATAGATAATTTTTAAGGAAACTTCCCACACAACCATTGGGGACTAGCCTGCTGAATGAAATGAGTTATTGTTAGCCACCCAAATACAATTTGCCAAACTAAAGAGGGGATTTCATCTGCAAAGAACAAAGGTTGTCATGGTTTCATTCGAGCTTCTCTCTTTTGAATGATTTGTATTGGTTTATTTTTTTCAATTTTAATAATTTAGAAATGAATATTAGTGCAGAGACTTTGATATACAATGTATGCTAAATTTCTTCTTTCAAGCCATCCCTTGTATCAAGACATTGGTTACCTTGCTTTGTTACCTTGCTTCATCTGCAGAGTTTCTGGAGGCTCTGACTGAGTACATTGGAGAAACTAGGACCTATTCTGGCATTTAGCATGACCTCCTTTATCTCAGGGGTATTTAGAAGTTTTAGGGTTGAAAGGGAGTATCCTAATTTTCATCTCATAAAATCTTTATCTGGGCCTCTACAGATAGATGGGGCTGGGAGAGAAATGTCATATCTGGCTAAGGAACAGGAAAAAAAAGCATCATTCTCTTCCCTCCCAATTCTCTCAAATAATTGCAAGCACAACAGATTTTATATATTGCCTTTGGATGGTGTTGGAATACTGTAAGAAGGAAAACTTTACTTTCATGCCAGTGCAGCTAATGATGCTTTCAGTTGTCTCCATGGGTTAGATGGAGATTAAGGCAATGCTGGAGGAACAAGGCAGAACACTGGTGAGGTTGGGGGCATGATTATCCCATGGTTAAATATAAGGGTTGTCAAGGCCAGACAAACACATACACACTATGCCAGTGGTGGTTAACCTATGGCACGGGTGCCAGAGGCGGCACTCAGAGCCCTTTCTGTGGGCACGCGCACCATCGCCCTAGTCCTAGGCCTTCAGCTGGGTTTTATAAAACCTTTTCGCTTTAGGCCTCTGCGGCCGTGTGCAAAAAAAAAAAAAGGGGGGGGTTCAATCAATCAGTCAATTTCAACTTCTCACGGGGAAAAAAATCTTGCAAAGTTGGAATTGATTGATTGAACTTTTTAGTCTTACCCAGTCTGCCGTTACCACTGCAGCCACGCCCAGCCAATGGGCCACACCCAGCTGGCACCTGACGATGCATAAGTGGGTTTTGGGTTGCAGTTTGGGCACTCGGTCTCTAAAAGGTTCGCCATCACTGCACTATGCTCTTTTAAATAGGCAGGCTGTCTCTTATCATAGGAGCATCCAAATATCTTGGCAAACAACCAAAGTAAATATTTAGCTATACTTTTGAAAATTATCATCAATATTCTCTGCAGTCTACAAACTCTTTCACATTATACTGAAAGATTTCCTTTGGAACTAAGTGGGGATGTTGTAAATGTCACTGAGGGTCCCTACACCTGCATTCAAGCAATGACTGTAGCAGGGCTGGGTTATTTTTCAGAGAATTTTCTTAACCACTTATGCCTAAACCTGACAATAAAGCAGCCTATGCAACAGCAGGTCTTCTATTGATTCTTTGAATAACCATCAATTCTGCTATTCCTTCTCAAATAAGGGTTCATTTGTTATCCTGGGGCTAACAGCTGCAACAGAGTATTATTGATTTCTCTCTGATCTTGTTGCTGACTGCAATTTACAGGTTTTGGGACTATTGAGGCCGGCTTTGCACGCTATTTCAGAAAAGCCAAATAATGGCATTGTCATTTCTACAATAACTACTTTACAGGATAAGACCAACAACCAGCTCTCAGAAGCCACCTAGAGGTCTCTTCAAAGAGAAGCATGAGCAAATGGCCCTCTCTATCAATGGGCTGCAGTTACTAATTAAAATAATAAAAACCTGTTGGGATACTAACCAATTTGGCCTGCTACATTATTATGTATATTAAATTTTAACTCCATCTTTATTATTTGCCATTCTTGAACCTATGTATCCATCTAGGAAGCATATACTACTCAAAGAGGTAGATATATTTTAACAGAACAAAGAGCTTGCCAAGCTTTTTGTTAAGCGCAATACATTGTTAAATGTGCAAGTCACAGTAAACAGCATGATTGAAGTTGATTGTATTAACGGATTGCCTTTGTACTGTATGTACTATAGGCCCCCTGCTATTCTGCGGCTGTCACGATTGGGGGTACTAGGTGTTACAGAAAGAGAAGCTGCCTTTTTGTTTTTCTGTGGGAATGGAGGGTATACATACCTCAATTATTTCAGTTCTAGTAATTTCATTGTTTTTAAAATAGTAAAAATAAAATTTTAAGGATGCAAACAAAAGATAGATCTCTGCCTACAGCTACTGTTTGGGACTTATGCTGGTACTCTAATTCTCAAGGATTTAGTTACATCAAGTCACATTTCAGGAAAACAGATCCTTTGCCATGGTCACCCAAGAGAAATGGCTTCAGCCTCACTAGATTCAATGTACCATGTTGGTCAACATTGAGCAATTAAAAAAAACCAAAACAATTGGGTTACTTTTGAGTTCTTCAGCAATTCAAATACAGGTCATCTCAGAAGATATGGTCTTCATGTGATGCAACACTTATCCAGCCAACATTTTGTACCCAGCATCCCCATTTTGTATAGAGACATTTCTTTGTGGTTCTAAAAGTTGTCTCTTAAAAAGCAAAGTAAATCAGGCAAATTGGGCAGTTACCAACCTCTGGCTTTTAAATCAATTAAAGCATACTGATTTGCATTATTGTAATCGTAATATATCAACATAGAGATAGATGCTCAAATTAATGTTCCAGTCCAATCTATCTAAAAGGCAGCAGCTGAAGCAGGCTGCTCAAAGATCTTGTCTAAGACATAGGGGCAAAATCACCTAGCTTAACTGCTCATCCACAAAATTTGAGACTATACACCTAGCCCTTTCCTGAGCCAGAGTTTTTCCAAGGTAATACTAATAAGGGTAAATCAATGTCTCATATTATTTTTCTTACTGTTCAAGTGTTCTGTGCAAGCTTCTGAGAAAACCCAGGTGCATTGTTTTATTACTTTGAATAAATTTCAGTCAACAATTTTAATTACTTCCTGTATCCTCAATTTGCATCTCCTTTTAATCTTTGTATTGCTTTCATTAAACTTTCTGAGGGCTAAACTTTGCTTGGCTCAAATAAGAATATCCATCTGCGTCATACTATGAAACATCTCCCCTCT